CCCCGAGGGCTGGGGCGAGGGTGCGCAGGAGGGGGTGCCCCTCGGCCCGCGGGGCTGGGGAGGGCGGGGGAAGGCTGGGGAAGACTTCTGGCTGCAGACCTTGGTCTGGCGGGTGGGTAGTGGCTGTCTGGGTGCTCTCACCACTTTGATGGGTCTCAGGGAAGTGATGCTGTCGCTTCTCCGGCTGTTGGTCCAGGAGTCCCAGCGGGGGTACTCCCCCTTCTCAAACACAAACTGCTCCCCTTTGCAGCTTGCCTGCTCGTAGCCCACCCAGCTGGAAGAGAGCAGGGGACGCGCTTCAGAGTGGGCAGCGGTGCGGGGATCGGCCCCTGGCACCGCCCCCGGCGAGCGCCCGGGCTGAGCCCCAGCCGTGTCCCCTGCTCCCTGCGGGAAGGGAGAGGTGCCAGGGGGTGCCGGTGGGGAGCAGGCTGGGCTGCGGTGCCTCTGGCCAGCAGTGGCACCGCAAGGCTTCCCCACTGGGGACGCTCCAACATGGTGGCTACCAATCCTTCGTCCCTGGGGACCCACAGGATCGCTCGAATCTCCCACTGGGGTTGTGCTCCCACCAGGGCGCTCTGCAGCTGCCCCGTTGTTCTGGGAGCAGCACTGCCGGGTGCACGCTGGGAACCCTCCAGGGGCTTTTCAGGGTGTCTCCCTTTCCCGGAGCTTGTGTGGCTTAGAGAGCTCACACAGGGCCAGCAGGTGCGGAGACGGCACCAAGGGGGTCCCAGTCTCGCCTGCGCCTGCACCCAAAGGGAAGGACACCAAACTGGGGGTAACGCTGTGATCTGTGCCCATGGCCACACCCCTCCGCTCTCCCTACCTCTGAGCGGAGTTATCAACCTGTCCAGGTGACGATGTCACCCCCTGTTCACCCACTGTGTCCCCCTGCTCACCTGCTGGCAACCCCTGGCACCGGGCACTCACTGGGGTGAGGTGGGCGAGCAGCTCAGCAGTGTTGGCCACAGGAAATCCGGGGTGCGATGCGGGTGTGGCAGCGGGGAGACCCCTCCTCCCCAGCCCCCTCCCTCCCAGCCCCGCCTGGCCCCCAGCTCCCCTCACGTACGGTCCGGAGTGCACCAGGATGGAGCCCACTTTGTCCACGCCGGCTTCCTTCAGGTTGGGGCAGGCCCCGCTGAGCTCATGGCAGCGGCCCTGGAAGTTCTCCTGCTCGAAGATGGCAATCTGGAACGGAGAGCAGGACCTCAGCGTAGCTGTCACCCCGGCCCTGTCGCCACTACGGGGGCACACGCTGTCCCCGGCCACCGGGACAGCACATCCGCAGCAGTCCAGACCTCTCACTCTCCCAAAACTGCGCTCCAGAGGCTTTTAAAGAAGCCTGCAAGGCACCGCTGCCACCCCTCTAAGGATGCAGGTCTCACGAGTGCCCACGAAGCCCTGTCCCAGTGCCCCGGTGCTCCTGGCACAGGGATGCCCACGCTCACAGCGGGTTTTGAACAGCTGAGGGACTCGGGGTGTGGCTGGAGCATCGAAGCCACCAGAGGGACACGGCGACCCAGACACCCGGCGACAACCCGGGGACAGCCCTGGGGCCACCAGCTCAGCACAGGTCTCAGGGGTCAGCGGGCGGTGGGGACAGATCTGCTGTGTCTGCAGCGGTGGTGGGAGATCAGCGTTTGATCTGTTCCCAACCGCTCCGCCTGCACCGAGGCTGCGAGGTGCAAAAAAAACTCCCGTTCCCCATCCCCTCGTCCTGCTGCAAACAGCTCGGCAGCGCAGCCGGCCGTGCTTGGCACCAGCCGGGAGTGCTGGGGGTGCTGGAAAGGGGAGCTCAGCTGCTCCCAGCAGAGTCTCCGGGTATGATTTGGGCATCCAGAGAGGCTGAGGGTGCCCTGGACACGCTGCAGGGCTGGGCAGTCTCTTACTGACCTTGGAGCTGGCTTGCTGCTGCTTGGAGGCTGGCATTTGGTGCTCGGAAGCCATCATCAGCTGGGTCGTCTGCTGCCTTGGGAGGGAAACTCAGCACGTTAAAATCTGCCACCGAGGGAGGACACGCTGGGGACCATGCTCCGAGCCCCGTGCCCTGTGTCCATGTGCCCGTACCCTGCAGTTTGCCCAGGGAGCAGCGCGTTGGGAGCAGGGCTTGCAGCAGGATGGGCTCAGGCTGGGCAAACTCTGCTGAGAGCTGCCCGGCACCCCAAAACCTCCCCAGGCTCGGAGCACAGGCAATGGTCTTTGAGACCTGCCCGGGGTCTCTAGCACAGGGATCTGTGAGCCCAAGGAATTCCTAAATCATTCCCAGTGGAGCCCAGGCCCTATGGTCGAGGATTTCCTGCTGTCCTTGCCCAGCAAGTAACAGCTGAGCGTCCCGGTCCCACGCGGGTGCTCGAAGGGGAGATGGGGAGAAGCCCTGGGGCTCCCCCCGTCAGCCCCAGCCCCCAGGAACCTGTGCCGAGCCCTCCCGGCTTAGCCTGGCACTGCCACTCCTTGCAAGGAGCCCCATCCTCAAGCCCAGAGGGACCCTCAGTATCTGAGCAGCTCCAAAACAGGTGAAAACTCGTTCCTGACAAAAAGAAGCGGAGCCATGGCCCGGTGGTGATGTCCTGCTTTGGGCTGCGGGGACAGGACTGTCCCCGGCTCAGCCGCTGCGTGCCCACACCCCGCTGGCACTGGGAAGGGACCCCGGCCCCGGGGATCGGGAGGAGGCTACGGCAAAAGAGAGGACAATAAATAGCAAAGTCTTACCAGTTATACCAGTACCCGCTTGAGCCAGTGACGGGCTGGGGCCGGGAGGTGGAATTTATACCGAGCTGCAGCAGAGAGGTGCCAAAACTATTTACAAAATAGTTAAAGCCTGATTCAAAGCGAGAATGCTGGATTAAACCCCAATGAAAACCAGGGTCAGCTGATCCGCCGCAGCCTTTGTCTGCCCGAGCACCAAGCCCGAGTTATTTCATTACCTGTCACATTCGAGTCACCCGCTTTGTCGGGTTGGTGGCGAGGAGATTTGGAGTTTGCAAGCATCAGCCGAACGCGTGCCAAGAGCCGGGGCTGCCCTGGCCAACAAAGCCCCGCCAGCCCCGCTTCAGGCGTTTCGGGGCCAGAGACTTGATCCCCCCGACAGCCCGGCAGCCGCCGCCGGACCTGCTGAGCTCGGCTCTTTCCAAGCGCGATAAAACGCCCCAAAGCGCTGGTGAACGTCTGGCTTTGCCCGTCTGCAGCCCGGGGAGGGAGCGCCAGTGCCCGGGGCACCGCGGGAGCCCCTGCCCGAGCCGGGGCTTCGGGGCTGGGGCAGCGCCCTGGGTGTGAGCGTGGGGTGCTCCAGTGTTGGGTGTGGGCTCCTCCCGCGTTACCCCATTCTTTTTGGGATCCCTGAGATGTACCCCAGCCCCACGGGGCAGTGGGAGCAGCAGCACGGCTCTGTGACACCAGGACAAAGCTGAGGTGACGAGGGGCTCAGCCCCATGGCTGGGATGTGCTGGATGGGGGCCGAGGGCAGCAGCAGAGTCCCTTTGCTGGCATTGTCCCATCAGCGGAGCCAGGAGGCTGCACAGGGCTGGGGGCTGCAACAAAGGAGGATTCACACAGCGGGGGACACTGTCAGAGTCCCTGTGCAGCACCCACAGCCCCCTTCACCCCACAGAGGAGCTGGATTCCCCCTGTCACCCCAGCAAGTGTCACCCAGCATGAACAGACCCCAGACCTGCTCCTTCCTTCTTGCAGCCCCTCCAGAGGGTGCCACAGCAGGTGACGGGCCACAGCCCCCCAGGGCCACCTCTGTCCCATCCCCTAACCCAGGATGGCTGCACACAGGGTCACCCACAGGCTGTTGTCACCAGAGCCTACCCTGGCAGTGACATGTGGGAGGGTCAGTCCCTGGGGTCTGCAGCAGCCCAAGCTCCAGGTGATGGGGGTTTCCAGGGCCAGAGGGGCCAAGGTGACCCGTGCAGCTCTGCAAGGAACCCATCAGCCCATGGACAGGCCAGGGTGTGATCAGGAGTTTCCAGCATTCCCAGGAATTCCCAGGAGTCCTCCTTTCTTGCCTGTGTCTCCTGCTGCAGCCCCACAGATGGACCCAGTATTGCCGCCCCATCTCCTGGATTAATCCATGTGGGAGCCCTGGACCCTCATGGACCTGTGCCAGGTCCCAGTGCAGGGCACTGCAGCCCTGCAGCCACATCCCATCCCCCCATCACCCCAGCAAGGGGCTCCCACGGTGCTCAGCACGGCTCCTGTGATTCCCTCCTGGATTTGGCTCATCCCAGCCCCGGGCAGTGGCGGTGCTGCAGCCCTTGGCCATGGCAGCCCCATGGAATGTTCTGGAAGCAGCTTTTGCCACTCAGGGCCAGGCACTCGCCTTTCACAGCTGCCAACCCCCCTTCCCAAAGGGAAAAGCTCTGCAGGGGCTGTTCAGGGAGCTGCACAAAGCCCTCAGGTGGACTCAAGACCTCCCACCTCTGTCCCAGCCCTGTGGGTCCCCAAGCGTGGCCAGAGTGCCCCTGAGGAAGGGCAGTGCCAGGGCAGCTCAGTGCTCAGTGTCCCACCAGCACCCTGTGGCACCCCTAAACCCCCAGAACAGCCCGCCCCTGTCAGAGCTCATCCCCCAGCACCACCCCAGGACTGTGGGAACCTTCCTTGGGGACAGGCTGGAGACCCTGCAGGACGCTGAGGTTGGACACAGCCATCCCACCACGGGATGAGCCCCCCTTGGAGCGCACAGAACCTGGCACAACTCAGGGCTGGCCACTCCACACATTCCCCCCGGCCCCCTCCCTGCCCGGGGACTGGCCACCAGCCCTGGGAGCGGGCAGGAGATGCTGTGCAAACGGACAGAGGCACTGGAAAAACCCTGACGCGGCATCACCGGGGGTTATTTTTGGGAAGCTGCAGCCTTTATGTAACACTGCAAACACTGGCACGTCCCTCTCTGCCCCGTGCGGGGTTTGCTGGGCACGGCCATTGCCCCTTCCCCATCCCCATCCTCCTGCCCCCCTCCCCGACCTCCCCCAGCCCAGGACCAGGCGGGCCCCGGCAGCCTCCAGCTCAGAGCTTTATTGAGGTTTTTGCACAAAAAACACCACGGTCACGGCCTGGGCCGGGGGACCCCGCGAGCGGCCCCGGCGGGGGCTGGGGGTCCCTCAGCTGTTCTCGAAGCAGCCCCGCTGGTGCCACTGCTGGTCCCGCACGCGGCGTACGGACTGGATCAGGGGCTGGTTGGCGTCCCACTCGTTCCAGTGCCGGTACTCGCCCTTCTCAAAGACGTGCTGGCGGCCCCGGTACCCGGGGTACTCGTAGCCCACCCACCTGTAGGGAGCGAGGCAGTGCTCAGCAGTGCCCACCCCACACCCCCACAGCCTCTGGAGCAGGGGCAGTGTCCCCATCCCCATCCCCGTGTCTTTGTCTGCCACAGCCAGGGCCACTCCTGTGTCACCAAGTGCCACTGCACAGGCTGCAGCCACAGTGCCCAGGTGGGGAATGCTGTGTGCCAGGAGAGGATGGAGAGTCCATGGAAAAGCAGCTCCACTGCTTGGGTGGTGGGTTAGGGCAAGGAGCCATCATCCAGCCCCAGGGACACTGCCATGGTCCCTGTTACTCCCTGTGGGCCAGGGAAAAGGTGGCAGCAGGGAGGGAACAAGGGACACAAGGGCATGAGCAGCACCGTGGAGCAGCTGCAGTGGCTGTGCCAGGTGTCCCTGCCACCAACCACCCTGGGGCCACCAACCACAGTGCCATGGACAGGAACCTGGCGGGGTGTCCCCTGTGTCCCCATCCTTACGTTCCATTCAGGGCCTTGACACTGGCCACACGGTCCTGGAAGCCATGGGCCCAGAGGCTGGGGACGTCGTCATCCACGATCTCCATCTTCCTCCCGGTGTACCCCACGTTCTCAAACAGGTGGATCTTGTGGTCAGCGCTGTCCTGGGGGAAAGGGTGGGTCAGGAGCTGCCCCCAGCCCCTCCCCAGCGCTGTGGCCACCCCAGCACAGCTCTACTCACAATCTGGAGGGGCCGGAGGGACATCAGGCTGTCGCTGCTGTGGCTGTTGGACCAGGAGTCCCAGCGGGGGTAGTCTCCCTTCTCCAGCACGAACTGCTCCCCAGCATAGGCCTGGCGCTCGAAGCCCAGCCACCTGCAGGACCCCAGGGTCAGGGGGATGCTCTCCCTGCCACCCCTGGGGCTGCTCCATCTTCCCCACCCCAGACTTACGGGCCAGACTCCACCTGGATGGAGCCCACCTTCTCCATCTCCTTCTCGGTGATGTTGGGGAGCTCCTCTGTCAGCTCACACCTTTTCCCCTGGAAATTCTCCAGCTCGTAGATCGTGATCTAAGGTGGGGAGAGATGCTGTCAGCCACCCCAGCAGGGGAACACCCCAGGAAATGGGGGCAGCAGTGGATCAAAGGGCTCTGACCGTGTCCCTCCATCCGATGTCACTCCTCGCCTGGCAGAGCCATGTCCTGCCAGTGCCTCTGCCCTGACACAGCTCTGGGCAGAGTTCTGGCCAAGGGTGTTTGTTTGGTAAAGCACGAGTTGGAATTTTGTCCATGATAGGCTTAAAACCAGCTCAAATATAGCACTGGAAACACGGAAGGTTTGGGCTGAGAGAATTCCTGAGCCATGGGCTGCCTCTCCTACCCCCAGCCTGGTCATTACCCATCACTGCTCCCTCCAGATCCAACCATCCCTTGGCCTGGCACAAGCTCTTTATTCAGTGTTTCTTTCTAAGCCCTGTCAGGTGCAGAGACCCCGGTGCCTCCCCAGGCTGCCCTGCTCTCAGGGCTGAACTGCAGGATGGGCTGGAGTGAATCCCAGTGGCCAGAGCGTGGCACAGAGCTGGCCCAGGGCGCCCAGCACCATTCAGGGACCAGGAGGGTCAGTGGGGTGACCAGGCACCCCCTGGCACTGTCCCAAAGGGATCCCAGCTGCAACACCTGAGCCTGGGAGAAGGGCAGAGCATCCTACACACACCACATAATGTGGGGCTCAAGGGACAAAGGTGACACCCGGGTTCCTCTGTGCATCACAAAGCAATAAACAGCCCCAGCTCCTGCACCCCCTTCTCCCACTGGCAGGATCTGCTTCCACCTCCAGCCTTCCCTGTCCAGGAACAGCTTTGTGGGAAGCTCTGCACCCACTGCATCCTCTCCAGCTGATTTACCTTCAACCAACCCACGAGCTGAATCCAAACCTGCAAACACACCTGGGGAGTTTCAGTGCCTGGGCCCACGGTCGATCCTGCTGTGCCAGGAAGCTTCATCTCCTGGATTAAATCCCTGGGCAGCTGCACACCAACCTGGCCAGCCAATGTCCTTGGCAGGGAGCAGTGTCCCTCCTGCCAGGCAGCAGCAGCAGCAGAGCCCCAGCCCCAGCTGCTTCCCAACCTGCAGCCCCCCGGGTTTAACATCAGAGTGGGGCCACCATCCACTGCTGCTGTGGCCACTGCTGTCCCCAGCACTGGTTCCAGCCTGGTGCGTGCACACCGCATCCCACAGCTCCACCCAGCATCCATCCGTGCCCAGCTGTCCCCAGTACACCCCAGTATATCCCAGTATATCCCAGTATACCTTGTAGTTGCCACCTCGCTCGCCAGCACCCTCCCCAGTGGCCATCTGCTCGGGGGGACTTTGCTGCTCGGTCATTGTGCCTGGAAAACCCAAATTGCAGGAGGTTAAGGCGGGAGGCACCAGGATCTACAGCTGGTGATGAAACACAAAGGATGAGGCTGGCACGGGGACAGGCAGCATGGGACAGCAGAGACTCCGATACAGCAGCTCTAAGTCCAGGCTCTGTTGTCCATCCTCCTCTCCCTCCTGCACATCAGCCCCAAATCCTCACCCAGGCACCCTCAGGACTGAACCGAGCCATGTCCCAAGTGACACGGAGCCCTCCTGCCCAGCTGCCACTAAACTCCCATCTCACAGCCCGGCCTTTGTTACCAGCAGGAATTTCTCAGCTTCCAGCTGCTGACATCTTTCCCCATAACATAAACCTGACACCTCTCCTTTGCTCCAGCATCCCAGGGGACACCAAACCCGGCAGCTGGAGCTGCTGCCACCGCCTTGGCCGGGGGGGATGGTGGTGAGAGCCCCCTCCTCACTCTCCAGGAACATCCACAAAACTCTGCTCAAACATTGAACACGCCTTCCCTGGCCACGCCACGCTTAAGGGGCTTAAGAGACGAAGAAAGGACTTTGATCAACATCCTGAATCAAGCCCTGCAGCTTCACTTCTCGCCACGCACGAGCCAAAAGCTCGACTCAGACACACAAATTCCCAGTGGAAGCCCCTCCAGTCCCGCTACCTCTCCGTGTGGTTCCGCTGTGCCGGGCGGCGCGGGCGGCCCCGCTATTTATGGGTTGCTTCTGAACAGAACAGCAGAATTCCCCGAGCGCTGATACAGCAGCTGCGTCCACGGAATTCCATCCATGAGATTTCATCTCAATAGCGCGGGCGCGCAGCGAGCTATGGAAACGTCATTCAGATTTCTCCCGGCTGTCCCTCGGACACGGGCCACTCGATTTACAGAAGATTAACGTCCAAATTCACATCAGCACGTTCACGCTGCTTCTTGCCAGGTTCTCTGGAAAACTCTGCCATCAGCAGTTCACGGGAGGGTTTAGCCTGGAAACTGAGCGCAGCACGAAGCAAAAATCGGGCAAAATATCCCCAATTGTGTGAGTTCCAGCTCAAGGTGTGATGCAGGGCTGGGGTCAGCTCTGGGAGCTGGAGCAGCTCTGGATTTCCAGATTGGTGCTCTTGTTTTAACTATGGCCCCAAGCAGGTTCTCTCTGTTGAATCCCTTTTCTTTCTCTGGTTCCCTCCCCAGCATTTCCCAGGAACAGGCTGGGAACGCTTCCTGGGGTGTGTGATGAGGGATTTCTGCAGCCTGGCACAAGGGCTTGTCCATCTTCACAGGCACAGGATGATGGAAGGGAGGAGCAAACTGGGAGCATTTCACTCTGCTGAGGCCTGACTCCCTCTTCACCTTTGAGAGTCCCTTCAGATCCAAACCATCCTGATTCCCGAACATTTTATTCAGCTGCACAAATCCCCATTTGCTATGGCCCTTGCAGGTTTTTTTGAGTGTGGCTCACCTTGAAACCAAGAACTGCCCATGAAACCTTTACTGAAATTGCCAGAAAAGTGAATCCTCTGGACCAGGCTGGACAAACTGAATGAGAGAGGGATGGAAACCTCTCCTGTTATACATATATATACATATATATATATATATATATATATATGTGTGTGTGTGTGTGTGTGTGTGTGTGTATGGGGCCCTTGAGCCCCATCCCAGCCCTGGCCTTGCTGGGTGATGCTCCAGGCCTGGTGTGACAGGGATGACCCAGGAGGTGTCTCCAGCTGACTCTTCCTCACTCTGCCCATCCTGTGGTTCCTCAGGAAGATTTGCTGTCCCCATCAGAGCTGTCCCACAGATGCCACAGCTCCAACAGGCACAGACCGAGGAGGAATGGATTAATTTCTGTCTCACCAAACACAACACAATCTGTCCTCAACAAATTAGAAACACAGAATTCCTCGTGCCAGTCCCTTCCTTTCCAGCATCCTCATTCACCTGGATCTGCCCCTCCCAGGTCTCCATAGTGACAAGGCAATTCCAAAAACATGACAGAAGGGACACTGGATCTCTTTGATGCCTCTCCTAAACAGACCTCAATTTCCTCACGGTCAGCCTTTTAAATCCCTTTGAAAAATGACTGTTATAAAATAGGTATTTTTTTGTTAATACCTGGCAAAGCTAAACTGCAACTGTAATGGTACAGAACAAAACAGAGCAGCCAGAATATCTTTATTCCCTAGGAAACTGCAAAATATAGGATTTCTATCACACAATGTATTTGTTGATTTATTGTGACCCAGACTGACACACTCTGTAAGGCTATGTGGATCAAGAGCTCCTTCAAAATCAGATTTGATACCATTTTGTTCAACATGGAATGAGAAAAACCCATAAACCACCAGACCTTGGCTCTCCTCCTCTGCCAATCCCACCAGAAGAACCAGAAGTTATTTCAGATTCTATTTTTGCAATACATTTGTACTTGAGCCAACAGGACAGCCATGGAACAGAGCTCAGCACCAGCTCAGGAAGGATTCACCTCCTCCATCCTCTCCACTCCCAGGGTGAGCAGAACCAAGCCTGGACTCTGCAGCCCCTGCCAGAACACCCCCAAATCCATTAAAGCTCCACGGAGGTGATTTCATAGAATCACAGGATAGTTTGGGTTGGAAGGGACATTAAATCTCATCTCCCCCAACCTTCCACTAGACCAGGTTGCTCCTGTTCAACCTGGTCCCAAAAGCCTCCACTTCCAAAAAATCCATCTTTAAAAGGAAGTAAAGCAAATACCTTTTTTTTTTCTTCTTCTCAGCACTGGGCTGAAGGGATGGATCCAACACATCTCTCACTTGGCTGCAGCTGCTCTTGCACCAGTGTCCTTCAGGGAGGTGCAGACAGTGAGGGAGCACAGTTATGGTGACAGCTCTGTATTTCCCTGGAACAGTTTGTTTCACCCCCAGAGCTGCCTTGGGCACAGCAGTGACAGCCCTGGGAACTCGCCCCACAAGTTTTGTACCTGGATACAGCTCGTGGGGCAGAGCCACCCCAGCACTGCCCCTCTCCCCCTGAAACACACTATCCCTGCAGAAATCAGGGATCTGCTGCTCCAAACCTTTTACAGGTCACACTTTGTACTCCCAAATCCGCCCCACGTGCATTTCAGTTTGCAAATAATTTGTCTGCAATCAAGGAACAAGGTGAAACAAACTCTGGTGGCAGTGAAAAGGGGATAGTGTGTGGGGGTAAGTCCTGTGGAAATCTCGGAATGTCAAAGGTTGGGGAACCAAACATTGCTTCTTCCTCTGCAAGAAGTGAAAGGTTCTGGTGCATGAGGACCAAATTGAAGATTCACAGATGTTAAAAAGGTGAATTTGCAAACAGAAAAAATAAAAAGGAAGAAATCCACAATTGGGAATTCCAGTAAAAAGCAATGGAGCAGCCATGCAAGTCCCTGACACACCACCCACAGCAGGGATCACTGGGGATCATGAGAGGAGGGCAGTCACAAAGTGCTCCTGGATTATACAAAACACATCATCCCACCTGTAAAACCCAAGAGTGATGTGGCTTTTTAAGCAAGGAGAGACAAAGGAACTGCCAGGGCCTCCATCACCTTCAGCATCACTTTCTGGACAAGAGCTGAACCTGCTCCAGGGATCCAGGAGTGAAGGAACCAGCACATCTGAAGGAACCTTACAGCTCACTTCCATCTCCAATAAACAGCAGGAAAAAGCAGATGGCAACAAAAGTGAAAGCATAAAAAATTCCAAGAAGCATTATTTGGAATTAAAATAGAATTATATAAAGTGTATTACAGTCTGTTCTATCAATTAAGAAGTAATAACATATTTATATATCTTTTATTACAGAGTGATAACCCGAAGGAAGTTGATATTTAATCCATGTACAATATAAAGAAATAACAGAGCAGAAAAAACACTTTCCCATTCAACAACATTCTAAAGATGCTCTTTAATTAGACATTTAAGCATTAAACATTTCTCAGTAGTAGGTTAAACTACTCAATACAGTAATTTCAGTGCATTGTCCAAGCAGACGTGGAAATGCAAACACATTCAAGGGCTTTGTGGAAACCTCGTGTCAATCCCCTCAGTTTCCTCAACACAGTTACAGAATTTCTGGCCTAGACCAAGAGCCAGTAAATCCTCCAACTGTTGGGAATGCAACACTGTCACCTGTGGGAGTGGAAAACCCAGCCTGTGTGAATGGTCCTGTGAGCAGGGACTCGCCTGATTTCTGGACATGCCACCATCATCCTCCTCACCTGCCCGTGCTGCTCAGGCTGGCCCAGGTGAGTGTCACACCTGGGACACACCCACGGAACCCTGGGGTGCTGCCACAGGAATATACAACCAAAAAACACACCAGGAGTCACCTTTTCCACCATCATCTAAAGGAAAGGGAAGGAAATCTGTGCAAGGTTTTAACAGAAGCTGGTGAATGGTGGTGGCTGCACTGACAGGGCCCATCCCCAAATTCCATCAGAATCCTGGGGATCAACTGCTCTGTGGGGAGCAGAGGGGCTGCCAAACTAACAGTGGCAACAGAACCCATGAGAAACAGGGCAAAGCAACAGGGAAAAGACTTTTACATCAGACAGATTTCTCCATCTCATCTCCAGGGAGCACAGGGAGCTGCCAGCGGAATCAGATCCGGGAGCGAGAGATGTGCAGATGGGATTTGTCTCCTGCCATCCTGCTGCTATTTCCTGCAGACTGGGACTGCAAAATCCCCCTCCTGTGACTCCTCCATGAGGTGAATTGGCACATGGTTTTGGCAGCTCCGAGCCTGACAGAGAGCAGCCAGGGCAGGCCCCATGGGAGCCGCGCTCCCAAAACGCTGATTGGGAAAAAAAGACAAAAGGAAAAGGAGCTGAAGTGCTGGTGCTTTGTGGTTTGTATGCAGAAGAGCCCTCAGCAGGACGTGGAAAGCAGCCCAAGGAGCTCTGCCAGGTGAGGAGAGCTCTCCACTCTCCTTTTCCCTCTTCCACGTTTTCCTGGTTGAGCCTGAGGAACACTGGAATCACCTCCCTCCCCTGGGCTATGCTTTTGAAGGTTACTGAAAGAGCACTTATCTGGGGCAAGAACCGAGTGTGGCTTCCATGGCCATGGTGGTTCAGAACGAGTGTCCAGAGACAGGGAATATCTGAGAATTAGGGATACCCAAACACCCGTGCAGTCCAGGAGATCTCTACTCCTCTATCAGCACATCTCGCCAAAGGAAAGACAGGAAATCATCTGAGAAACTGAAGATCACATTTAGGTTATCCCACAAAATCAGCATAAAAATAAAAACTTAAACCTGGTATTTACAGATTAACAAATAAAAATATGAAGTGGGACTATCTGAACTGCTATTAAAGTGACATTCAACAATTAACTGGAACCCTGATATGAGTGTAACATCCTCCCTCTTCCCTTCCTTTTTTGTTATAAAAACAGTATTTACATATTTTTACTTTTTTTTTTTTTTAAAGAGAACTGGTTGACATTATTGCTTGATCCTTTTTAGGAAAGACATTCCAATGAAGCAATTATTCCACATGCTGACAAAACACAGAATATACCACTTCAAGAGTGACAAAAGTTAACATTTTGTTCATCTAAAAATTATCTCCATCTGCCAGGTCAGCAGATCACATGTAAATACAAGCCAATCAAAAATACATTTTACAAAAAATAATCAAGTTTCCTTTTTCAATATGGCAGTAAACATGATTTGTTCTTCCACTCTCACCTTCCACAAATTTCATTCTAAATAGGAGCTTACTATTTGTTCACAAAAAAAAAAACAAAGAAAAAAAAGATAAATTTGATTAAAATTATTATTTTCATAAACAAACACAAAGCCCAGCCAGACACATCTCCCAGAGGTGAACACACAGAGTCTGTTCCACAGCGAGAGGAGTTCCCTGGATCACAGCACTCCCAAATATTTCTGTTTTCCAAGACTTTCTGAAGTGCTAACTGTGACCCAGGGGGGTTCTCCTGGCAGGCAGGTCTAAAGTGCCACTGTCCCCCTGCCCTGACAGACACAGCTTTGTATTTGACTATGAATTGAAGCAGCTTTTCTCCACAAAACAGGAAGGCACCATGCACAGAGCAGTTGAGGCAGGAAGCAAACAGCAGCAACATGACATGGGGGTTTAGGTTCAGATGAGTTAAGGCTTCTGTTAAACTTCTTTATCTTCTCCTAGTTAGAATCACTGTCTGCAAAGGAAAACAGAAGGAAGGGAGTGATATGATCAGGCAGCTGCAACAGGAACTCCTTAAAATGTGTTTTCCATCTTGGTCGTGTCTATTTAATGCATTAAATGCTTAAGAGCCACCCAGAATTGTGCTGAAAACACACAAAGTTTGCAGATTTTGGGAAATCCCAGCCCCAATAGAGTGAAGGCTATGAAAATCAAATTGTGTGCAGAGAATTAGTGGAACTGGGACTGGCAGTGGAGGGGCACTGCCCTGCTTGGCACCAGTCCCTGGCACCCCTGGTGCACAGGGCAGGGTAAGGACAGGGTTGGTGACACCAACACATCAAAGGAAATGTGAGTTTGTCACTGCACATCTGCACTCAGCAAAGCCCCCCTTCCTACCCAAGT